GAGTGGGCAAAAAACACTGGGAGCCCTTTAGCTCTAAAAACGACTTTGGAACTAGACTTCATTAAACTTAGAAAAACAACTAACAACAACACAAAAGCAAGCAAAACAGCATAACAACAAAGCACACAAAAAAAAAACCAACCTAAGATATTTTTTCAAGTCTATACCACCGGCAGAAATGTGTAATTGGTGTGTGTTGGACAGACTGGAGCATGTAATTTTGTCTTGCCAGCCTCTGTGTATGAAATTTGCACTAGCAAACTAATCATAGCTTTGTGATATTCTTCCAGTCCCTGTTTCTGGGAAAGGCATTGTAATGGAATAGACCCTTATCTGCACCAGATGGTCCAAGTCCCTGATGAATCATATGCCAGCTGCAGCCAGAATGCAACACGCTCCAACTATGCGGCCTCTTTCCTCTCACCGAGCAGCCAGCACAGCAAGGCTCATGAGCACTCAAAGCCACAGAACATGTGTCTCTATGTAGTTGTCCACAGTAGGCATATGAAAGATGACAGCTTCCAGAGCCGCACACTGTGCTCTTCCTGCTAGTCTTTTCACACAACGGGCAGAAAGAAAATGGTTTCCTTCGTCTGTTATGTCTGTTTTGTCCAAGAGGTTGGAAGGGCTCTGTTCTCCATCAGATGACACTACTGTTTTCCCTGTTATGTTTGCATTAAATTAAAGGGTGCTACTTGGACTCCTAACTTGACTCCTAACTGCCCCACTGCAGCACTAACGTCTGTGCTCTTGTGTACCAACTTAATGCAATTAGCAATATGTACAGCTTGCAAGGGAGAATAAGGGTGATGCTAACACATGGTTAATTAAGATATTACAGTTAGCTATTTGCTAGGCTGGCTCAGGGGAGTAGTAATAGGATATGGAGTCTTTCACCTTAAGTTCAGCAGTTCTTACCCACAAATTCCCAGGCAGTGATCAGTAATTCCTCATTAACCCTGGAACAAAATGAATCTGACTCCACTCAGACACGTAGATGACTTTTGAGCATGTCTGTCAACAAGGATATCACCGTCTCTGTCAACTAAATTTCAAAGTGAAGAACTCCAGTGCTGTGAGTAAATAGAAGTTGATGCCTTCCTGCAGAATTAACTTTTTTTTTCTTTTTTCTTTTTTTGTCTTGAGACTCAACATACTAACATAATATCACCAGATGCAGACCTAAAGGCTACAAATTAACTGATGTCCTTTGGTGCACCTGCAAGACAAACAGCTAATAGTACTACAATCATAAAAGCTGGAAAAAAACATTCTTAAGGGAAAAAAAAAATAAAAAAAGCAAGACTGAAAAGTAAAAAAACCCAAAACCACCACACCTAAATTATAATGAATCTGCAAGAGGACCCTAATTTCATGATCCTACTTGCGCTGCCAAGAACATAAAGAATCATTGCTTCTTGACATCATTCTTTTGCTGAAGGGCAATAACCTCCTCTGTATGCATTGCCTTAATCATGTCAAGTTGTGTCCCACAGATTTGCATATCTCCCAAGAAAGCACGGTGCATTGCCAGCAGCCTGATAGGCCAGATCAAAACAATTTCCTAATGTATGTTTACATCAGTTTTGGCTCCTGAGCCGCTCTTGTTCTAGTTGTTCTCCAAAACAGAGCCAATTCCCTCTCTTAAAGCTGTGTGTTGCACTGGGGATAGAAAGCAGAATAAGCAGAACATGCACCGATACACTGTCTTTACCAAAATTGTGCAATGCTTTCTAGATTAATGAACTGCAAATCAGATACACAAATGAAACCACATGCTGGATATAAACCCAGTCCTCCGAGACACGCTTGTTGTCACAAGTCAGAGAGGGAGGTGGGGGGAAGAGGGAAAGAGAGCGCACAAGCCTGTGTGTGATGGGGGTGTAATGAATGCCAGCTACCCTCTCGACTCTCTGGGATATGTGGGGATGACAAACTCTCTGAGGAACAATTCCTTTGACTGGTTCGCTGAGGAAAGGAAACTTGTCATGCTGCCAAGAATAAAACTGCTTCTGGGCTTAGTTTTGAATTTTATAAAGCGAATAAGTGAAAAATGTATACACATTCACTTCAGACCCAAGTCATGAATAATTGAAAGAATATATAATTGTACCCAGTTTTCCCCTCAAGCTCAACCAGCAAAGATATCTTCTGTCCATGTAACGGGGTACCTCAAATTCCTTTCAGAAACTGAAAACAATCTTAACCGAATGTCACTGAATTCACACTGCATGCAGGTATGAATAACAGACCATCAGAAAAGCAAAGGAAAAACTCAACAGTTTTAAATTAAGGAAGCTGCACATTTCTGGTTATACAAAAATGTTTTGCTAGTGTGGCTCATCCACATTTGATAGTGAGTTCTGAAAACAGTATGACAGAAAATGTGTTATTAACACAGTATGATGGTAGACATTAGACTGGTACTGCAAATGGCAGAGAGTACATTTTTATAAGGCTCAATAAGATAAAAATGTATACCAGGCCAAAAATACACGTGCAGAAAATAAACTCAGAAAACAGAAGTTATCTGTATCTGTTTGTAGCTCTTTTTTTTCCCCCTAAGATAGGGAGATATTCCAGTACAGATAGTGAAATGTAAGTTAACAGGAGACTGCCACATTTTCCTTCACTTATACTGAACTATATACTGAAGTGTATATATATATATACTCTCTCTCTCTCTATATATATATATACACACACATACACACTATAGGGTGTGCTAGAACTGTTTAATGGTATTTTTATCAAAAAAACAGATGCAGGAGATTAACTGCTTTTCTTTTTCCACGTTATTCCTGTAGTTTATAAGTTCTTCCATTTTCAACTGAGGTGAAACCTGGAATTACTATTCTCTGAGGACACGATAGTTAGCAAATACAGTATGGATAGCAATGTATCTGGTACGGCCCACTTGCAGATACAGAAAGCTTATTTAAATAGTAACAAAGAATATCAGTGACTTCTGTGAACAACATAACCATTATCTGCTCCCACTGTTGTATTAATGTTTGTATGCAACAAACTGTGATGCTCTTTGATATGAATAATATGTTAAAAAACCTGAATCACACACAGATGAACAGATTCAATTTCAGTAAAGATAATAGTTATATCTTCAAAATGGTCTGGGGTTTGGCTTGGCTGTTATGAAAGGTGCACATTCTTTATGTTGTTGTACTTCCCTAGCTGAATTACAAACACAAAATGTTCACCTAGACCCAGTTTCTATCTTAGCTGCTAATCAACAAGGTACTTGCTCAGACATAGGAAAGGGCAAAACTGCAGACATGGGAAGTGCAATTCTGACAATGAAGAATGAGTCCTCTACAGCACAGTGGGTTCAATCTGAGTAGCTGAAGGAGGTTTGACCATGATGAGGACAGGATCACTTTCTGCTCAGTATTTTATCCCACGATACACAGAGAGGATAGAACTAGCACAACTAGCTAGCTACGTCAGCGTCATAACAGCTTACAATTGTATACATGGCTTTATAAATACAATGATGATGCACCCTTCAGGAATACCAAAGGAATATCAGAATATTGTACACTACTTTGTTCCTGTCCACGTGTCTGAGAATTATTACTGTATAACATGTTGCATTTGTGATTGTGTAGCACAGATGCCTAAGAGAAAAGTAAAAACGAAAAGGTTGGAGAAAAAATGTTTATATATTTACAGGGAAAATGGCTGGGAGGAGTTACATACAAATACAGTCTCTATGTCCAAACTCACAGAAACAGACTTTCAAACAAATATTTTTAAGTTCCAACATTCCTGAGCTGTTGCTTGAATCAGTTGAAAGAGGGCATTTGTAACATAGGGTTTGTTTTTTATTTTAGAATTAATAGATGGCATTTTACTAATAAGCAAAATATGAAAGGATTATAAAAATGTGAATGCTTCGGTATTTAGTAGTTCTAGATTATTATTTTCTATTTACAGGTTAATTGTGAATTATTTCAGACCTGAAGTTGTGTAAGTTGATTTTTCCCACATACAGGACAAAATTAACACGACAGAGCATCATTCTTAGAAGCCTGGTCTCTTTGGTAAAGCTTTCATGTGAGAATCTGCTTATATTTGCAGCTGTCTGATGTTTAAAAACAGAATTACTCAACATCTCCAAGTTCTTTCTGACCCCTCGTTTGCTTGTTTTCTAGGTTACTCAGGAGCACCGGAAAGATTTCCAGCCGTGTTGTGCCACCCTGTGTACGAAATGGGAAATTGCACAGCCCTGCTGACCTGGGTGGTGTCCTGCAAATGGCAATTTGTGCAATTTGAAGGCAGTTTTGAATTTATCAGCAGCCAAATTATATTTAGAAAAGCTCAACAGTATTTTGTATGGAACATGTTAAAACATTAAACCTTTTGACATAATAAGTAATAGTGGCCCTTTTTATATTACAGGTCTGAAGAAGGATAAGGAAGGCTGTCACACACCCTCAGTTTTCAGAGCTCAGCTGAGCCCAGCTCCATCTGGAATAATTCCAGCTGTTCACCAGCGGAATGAGATCTCTATCCACTCAGCCCTAAATACCTGAGCAGAGCCTTACAAACTATGTATAGAATTCCTGTAATCAGATTTGCACTATTAAAAACCAGGATGCTATGGGCATGAGCTGTTCCAAATATGTACACCAGTAATGGTAAGTTTGGTGTGCTGCCAGGAGCAGACAGGAAAATGTAATGTCCTGAAGCACTGAATAATGCTATTTTATCACCTTCCGTGGCTGTCACCTCCACAAACAAAAAATTAAGTGGTGACAACAGAGTTGGGAGAATAAAACACTGCTTTCCCTTTGCTGTTTCCCCTTCCTGTTTTATTGTATTTCTCATGCCAGTAGCTTCATACTTCCTTAGATTTAAGCTAGCTCTCGCTTTGTGTTTGTAATATTACCTGATAAGCCTATTTTGCAATAATGCCTACAGGCCTCAGGCTGTTTACTGTGAATTACACTAATTCCTTATAAATATTCTAACAAATTTACCTTAATTGCTTTATTTCCTGTTATCCTTAGATTTCATCTTTGCTGGAGGGGGGTGAGCGTCTCTGCTTTCTATTCTTCTTTCTCAGTATATTCTTACACTGTATGTTTCTCCAATCACGTCATGAACCATTAAATCACTTTTTTATTCTTCCCACCCTTCTTCTGCACATGTGTCTCATTAATTATCCCAGGTTCCTGCTGTACCCCGGGCTCAAACAGACATTGGTGCATCGTTGCCTTTTGGACAACATTCTGGCTGCGAGGAGCAGGAATTCAGTTTGGTCACTGACTGCAGCAGTGTTACTGCAGGGCCAGTTCTGTGTAGCTGAGTTTGTTGGCACACACATAGCAATATGTACACGCTTACGTTCCAGCAGATGTACCGGTGCAGAAATCAGCTCCTGATTAAAAAATGAAACGTGCCCCTCAGCTTCATGAAGTCTGTGTGTACAAACGCTGCCCTCCTGCTGCTGCGTCCCAACCCCCCGTGTCCCAGCGGGCGGGAATCACAGAGCCGTTTCTCAGGCAGCATGCCGCACCTCAGGCACTGCACCTCCATCTCCTCCCAGCGATAAGCTCTGCTGTTACCGCTGCCAAAGGACGGTGAGCTCAGGCTCTGCGTAGCTCCCGAGCTCCTGCTACGGGTGCTCGGTACCACACCCGTATGGATTCACAGCGCAGCACCACCTGGTTCCACAAGGACCTCTCGGCGCCGCCGCCCCGCCACAGCCCTCACACAGGCACCGCCCCGCGCGCCTCGCGCTTCCAACGGCCGTCCGCGTGCGAGCAGCAAGCGCGCGTGCGCCAGCTACAGGAGGGCGGCGGGCGGCCGTGCTTTGGCGCATGTGCGCATGTGCGCGAGCGTTCCAATCATTGCGGGGCGCGGCGGTCACGTGAGGTTCGCGGTGTGCGCGCTTCCGGGGCCGCGCGGGCGGCGCGCAGGGCAGAGCGGCGGTTCGGCCCGTGTCCGCCGCGGTCAGGCCCGGCCCGTCCGACTCCCGCCAGGTACGGCCGAGGGGGTTTTGGGGAGGCGGGTCGGGATCTCGAGCCGTGGGGCCGTGGCTGAGCCGCCCGCGGGGTCAGCCCGGTGGGGCCTCGCCGGGAGCGCTGCGCTGCGTTGCGGGGCGCGGCTCCCCGAGCTGCGGCGCTGGGAGCGGGGCGGGGCGCGGCGGGATCGGACCCCGCTTGGGTTCGGCGGGCGTTTCCTGTAGCGAGGGGCGGCCGGAGCCGCGCGGGCCGGGTGGCTGCGTGAGGCTGCGGGGCCTGGGCTGCTCCTCCAGTGCCCGGCGGTGCGGAAGGGATGGGCGGCAGTAGGGCTCTGCCGAGCACTCGAAGCGGTGAGCGGCGCAGAGCTGTCAGCTGTTCGTGTAACGTGTGACTGCGTGGTAGCTGATGAGTTCGGTTAAGTCGGTTCTCGGCAATAATTCCGTTTGCTCTTCGATCGGGTGCCAGTGTTGTTGGTCTGTCTGACAGATCGGCACTGAGCTGGGAGTCCCAGCGAGTTCAGCTGCGTGCGTTCCTGCACCGCGCTGAGTGCTCCCGGCACGAACCTGCAGCGCTCTTGCTTTGCTGAGTGATTTCTGCCTGCTTGCTGAGGAAAGGCAGCGAAGACTGCTATTAGCAGGGGGCTGTGCCTTGCCTCCTTGTGCTGACATGCAGGTGACACGACTTGGATGTCTGTCCTTGTATCTGGGAAATGTTTTCAAGGCTTCGTGTGGCTTCGTTCTCAAAGCCAGTGGGGTTATGGAAATACTTAGAAATTACAGGGAGCTTTGCAATATGAATTTGTGTGCAGGAAAATTACATATATGTATTCTTCTGGCATGCTTTGAAATTAAAAACTGCTCTGGGACGCACCTCTTTAATTCCTGGAATGTGGAATTCTATTTGATCTTTCTCATGAAATGGTGAAGGTGAAATGTAGGAAAACAGCAGCGTAACATTTTTCAGCTCGCTGGGACAGCAGCATTGTGCTGCTCCCTGTGTGTGTCAGGTGGAGCTCCGCAGTGAACTCCTTGCTGCAGGAGTCTCGCAGAGTAAACTGTGTTCATTCTACTTCAAATGCTGTAATCCTCTTATCCTCATCAGGGACTGAATATGATGGGTCTTTGTATTGGCTGTGTAGATGTGGCCACACAAATGCTTTTCTCTTGTTTGTGTTCTTCAGAAAATTCAAAGGTGAAAAAAAATGTTTAAAAAATAAAATAATAAAGTCCCTCAAATATGCAACAGGCCTTTTTCAAAAGTAAATTTTAGGCATTCTGTTGTCTTTTTTCCTTTAAGTGTCAGGACATCTTAGAGTACATGTGTAGCTGTAAACCACATCAAACAATGGCAGTTCAACGGTCTTCTCAACCATGCTATGCTTGTATCATACATGTACCCAAACCAAGCCAGCTCCGTGTTGGTGAGAGCCAAGAACCAGCTCTCCGTCCAGGAAAAGGATGAGAACACCCATATTAGGCTTCTGATGCAAGAAGTAACACACCTCAGCTAAGTATTTACATGGGTTTAACCTGTGTGTCTGCACTGAGGTCCTTTCATTAGTTGCAGCAGAGGAGAAGTGATTGCAGTGATGTGGTGCCTTGCGGTGCTTCTTCCTGTTTGTAGTGCTCTGACTTGCTCAGAAGTATAACAGCAGTGCTGGTCACTGAAGTCCAAGGTTTGCGTGAAGAAAGCAGAACCACATGGCAGTCCTGCAGCTAAGTGTTCTCTGTGTTGAAGTTTCTGACCTGATATATCTCCCAGTCTTCTAATTCCATTTCTGTACGTTACATGGAGAGTAACAGCAAACAAATCTGCTGTTCTGAGAAACTATGAGTTGGCTGTGAGGAGTGCTAGCACCAGTCAGAAATTAATTGCTTCTCTCCTACGTGACTAGTAAAGACTTGCATTATTAGTGTTATACTTTCAAGTTTAACATTTACATGTTTCATTTACAGCTGATTTTAAAAGACTTGGGCGCAGTAGAAAAGAAAAGCCACTGCTACCACAGCAGCCATAGGAAAACAATCCTAAACTCTGCTTTAGCTTGTATGAACAGAGCTTTGTTCTTACTTTCTAAGCACTTGTATGATGATATAGAATCATTCATTAGCCATCCTGGAAGTCTGCACTTCTCTGACTTTCCTGAAACTGAAGATTACCTTTCCTTCTGGACCTCTTATGTTGTTATAATTGACAAGTGACAGTGCTTTTGTTCCTGAGACTTTAAGTCAAAGCATCCACAACTCATTAATCTGCATTCGAGTAGGATGAAGAAGTGAAGTAGCCTGAACTTGTGCTTTTCTGATATAGGACTTGGAGGTTGCCCTTTAAACTGTTTGCAATTATACTGCGCAGTATTTAATGGATGATGGTTTTCACATCTACCTTTATGAGAAGCTGCTGATGTGGGAAATGTGGTCTAAAAGTATCTTAGCTTGGTTACAGCATAACTAACTTTCTAAACCCCATACCTGTTCTGTATGCTGATAGGAATTGTTTCTGCACTGAAATGTGGTGCATCTGAAATTAACAGATATTACTTGGTGCTCAGCATTCATCATGTGTGGTGATAAAGCTGTTAGGGCAGAACTCGGCCTTGAATCCTTGGGGGAACAGCAGTGTGATCTCAGTGCCTTACAGCCACCCGGGCGGTGGCTGAGTTGGTTGTTGTCTTTCCTTCTGCTGTCAGCTTTCTTCCTTTCTTTATCTGCCCTTAAGAATGAAATAACCAGTTGAGATTTTCTTTTAGGTTTATTCTCTTTTTAGGGAGCTGTGTCTTTGTATCAGATAATTCGTTCCATACTGGCTGTAACCGCCACATTCTCTTCATCTGAGCATGTGGGATATCTTGTGCCACTTCTTGTGCTTCATCTCAGTGTCCCGAGACAAATGTAACAGAGTGCTAAGTACAAATTCATTGTTCCTGCTGATGGAAATAGAACTTCATCCCCAAGCAAATTCTTTAAATTCATTATTGCAAACACTCAGCAGGTTAGAACGCAGGAAGAACTTCATACCAAGGGTGTCGACATCGTAATGAGAGAGGATGTATTTTGTGAGGAAGGTGGTATGATTCAAGCAGCAAGAAAACATTCCAGACAGCACACTAGTCAAAATGGACAGATAGGCAGAGGGAGTGCTGGGAGAACACTTACTGGGGACACCTGAAGACTCTATGGGCACGTATTGCCCACAGCTGAGCTGTAGGGGCTGAACAACTCAAAGAAGGAAAGGCTTCTGCTAAGGGAAGTTAGGTTGCTACTTTCTAGAAGTTTTATATTTATTTCCTGGGTGTGGAAGGAAGGAAAAGTCAGTAATATAAAGCAGTAGCGACAAATTCAAAGTTAATTGTTTCTGGTAATACAGTTTTAACAACAAAGACTTCTAAATTTTTATATTATGCAGCTTGTTTAGTATAGCCTTAAGCATTGCAGGTCTTTTGAGAATTGGTCTGTGGTTATTATCAGATCAGGTTAAGAGAAATTGACGTTTTCCATAGCAGTTGATTCTACTGAACAGTAAGCATACTTGTTTCTTTTTATCCATGTAAGCATAAACTGTCTCTCTAGCTTAATTAGCAGTGTATTCCAACTTTGTACTTACTAGGTTTTACCTTAATTGCTTCTTTACATTTAAAAATACAATTCACAATTTCCTGTTTTAATGCTTTTCCTATCACTGATAAATTTACCTGTTCCTGTCAATCTTCAGAGCCAACACAGCCAAGATTTTCAACTGGATTGGGTTTGTCTGACAGCAGAATGGTTTATTATGTTCTGCTGTTGCGGATTCCCTGTTGCTGGTGATGGGTGAGCCTGAAAAACCACAGCTCGACTTGCACATCTCAGGGTGAGTGCTCTTTTTATTGAAGTGTTTTTTGTTTGTTTAAAAGCTGAGTTGTGTTTTAGATCTGACCATCTGGTTTGTTTGTTTTCCCCAGAGTATACCTTTATTCAGTATCTCTCATATAATCTAGAGGGTTGTCACGTTTTGTTTTTTCATACAGTGTGGAGTGAATTGGTGTAATCCCAAATGAAAGATCAGGTTACTCTGAGATTTTGTTATATCTTAAAGATTGATTCTGCTTCAGCAGAGTGCTGGATTAGATGATTTCAAGAGACCCCTTTCAACCTAAATTATTATGACAGTTTTGTTGTTATAAGCAGTTTATTATGAGTAGTTTTGCATTTGGAAAAAAAAAGTGTGGGGATGGGATGTGGTGGGAGGGGATGAACTGTTAACTGTTGCCTGTTTTTTCCACACAGTATTTCAACTTGGTGGTAAGGGATAGGATGCACTGTTGTAATATTGAACTCTATCTTTTTATGTTCCTGTAGCTGCTCTTTAGCCTGCTGTCCAGAAGACAAGAGGTTCTGGCTGATCAGGAGTAACTATTAACAGTTCAAGTTGGCTGGAGAATGGAAGGTGTTGAGTTTAAGGAAGAATGGCAAGATGAAGATTTTCCAAGGTTTTAAACTTTTTGTAAATAAAAATCAAATACATAACATCCAAAACAATCTGTCCCTATTTTCCTGATAAACTAATACTCAATCTTGCAGCGATTTCCACTAACAGTGATCTTGAGAGTCTTTTGTGCCTTGTTTCTTTGTGGTCTGGAAAGGGATAGCTTTACGTTAGTGTGTAAATAATACAAGAATGCCCATATTGAAATTTCTGATGTTACCAAAATGAAAGTGTAAGTTCAGCTTTGTTTTCTTCAGATGTTAAATGAACATTTTCTGACTGCTTATTATCACCAATGACTGAGGGCCTGAGTACTTCCATAAGCAATGTTTCTGAGCAAAACCTTTAGCATTTAAGAATACTGTGATGCTCAGACCTATAAAGAAATAAAAAAAAAAGTTGACTTCAGAGGTGTTCTTTTAAAAACAAAACACTAAAGAGTACTGTTTCTGTGATGTATTTAACATTAAACTTTATCAAGCAAGAATACAATAAGTTTTCCTAAAGATGATACCAGTAGCAACTAGTACTTGGGCATTTCATAATTTGAATTGCTATAAGGGAAATTTCTCCTGCGTTGTTGCTTTACTACCAGCTTGAATTTATATTGCATGTGCATTTGGATCAATACAACCCACAGTGTTCTTAGTGGAAGCTACTATTAAAAACTATTTTGTGTGTCAGGCCCCTGCCAGAGGATGATCCTGTTGACTCAGATATATTGGCTGCAGCAGGAACAGAAGGTGAAACTGGTAAGAACATTTCAATGCAGTCAGGCTGGTGGTTTTCTACATAAATGGCTGTCCTAAAGCTCTGTTTTGTGGTGTTTTTTTTTGTTTTGCTTTTGATGAGGCTTGAGGGATCAGCATTCTAAATGACATTTTCATATGTGAACAGAGGGATCTGGGTAATAATGAACGTAAATATATGATTACACTCATTTCATGACTGATCTTAAAATCTTGATTTGTTGTTTGACTTCTGTGTATCAGTTAGGCCTCACTTAGTCTAGTGGAGGAGGCACTTCACATTTTTCTTTTGTTAATAGTATGGTGGTCTCCCTCTGACCACAGGATGTATGCAGTTGGATAAACATAATGTTTTAAGGACTTGAACTTTAGTCTCCCAAGTTCTGTTCTTTTTACCATGTGTATTTTAATTCCTGATCTAAGGATTCATTGTTTACGTGGTGGGCGTTAACTTACTGTGTACTCTGAGGAAGTGCTGTGCTGTTCTGTCTTGTTACTGTGCTCGCCTAAACTCACTTGAGCTTTGAAAACAAATTTGCTTTTTTAAATGCAGCAGTTAATGGAACCAAAGTGAGGAAGAAACTTACAGCTCCAGACATTAGCTTAACTTTAGATCGCAGCGAGGAGTCTGTTTTGTCTGACTTGGATGAGAGCGGAGACATTGATTTGGATGACTTAGATACTCCTTCAGAGAATAGCAATGAGTTTGAATGGGAAGGTAAGTGTTTTGTAGCTCTTGTCTGATGCCACAGGATGTTTTCTTATTCTTCATGTGGAAAAGAACTGTGACTCGTAATTTCTTTTCTAATGGAAGTGATTAGATAGAAATAGAGACAATTTTTAAAAAGCAAATCATATGCTGACTGACTAATAAACAACAAACATAATAACTATTAACTCCAAATACAGTAAAGTGAATGCAAATCCTTGGTACAAATATATGCTTTACATGTGTTAGAATTCCATTCCGTATAGAGGTAAGCAACATGTAGGCCTACAGGTTGTAGATGAGCTTGTCAGGATTTTGTGAATTGTAAGCCTTTGTATTTAAAGAGATCTGAATGATGCTCTTAAAAATGAGTAACACCTGAACTCATTTGCTGCTGAAATGAAACTGAGAAAAGGTCATAACTCTTCAGACTTTGCAAACTTTCTGTACTGGCTGGAAATAGTAGAAAAAACTGTATTTTCTGTCAATTTGAAATATCTTTGAAGTTAACTTACCTATAGTCACGCTAGAAGTGCTACAGAAATGATCCTTACAAAATGAGTAGATCATTAATAATATTTTTACAGGCAAAATCTGTTGAATCTAGTAAGTTTTGTTGGAAGTAACAAAGTTCTGTGTAGGAGTTAAAGCACAAGTTTCAAACTTGCAGTTTAACTATGATTAGGGCCCTTTTAATGTAAGCTAAGAACTATTACTTTGGTCAAACAGTTGGAGTTAAACTTCTGTAAACGTACTACTTAAGAATGTCTCTGAAATTATAGACGCATGACCTCAACTATTACTTGTTTTATGCTGCAAATAAAAAAAATCCTGAGAAAACAGGAAGTTCTTTTCATTGTTACATATGAAAAAAATCTGTTGTTTATTCCAGGATAGCTTATAAATGGAAGGAAAACATTCTTTTAAGCAAGCGTTTTTAATACCTAAGATACTGCAGGTCAAGTTCTTGTAACAGAAGCTGTGGGCTTGCCTGTAGAAATGAATCTGTTTGAGAACTTTAGGGATGAAGAGTTGATATTTGGGGTTAACTTTACAGTGCTGCTAAGGAAATGTTCCAGATATTTGTGCCTTGTTTTTCAAAAGTGGCTGAAAAGGGTTTCTGTCTTTTCTTCCTTTAATGCTGCTGCCTTCATTTTCCTGGAAGGATAGTTTCAGTTAACAGCTTTGTCTTGGGAACAGACAACTAACTTGCAGTAGGTTTTTCTCGCTTTGGGTAAGGTCTATGCAACGAAGTCAAGAATCATTTATTTAATTGGAGCAAATTTTTTGACAGATTGCTGTCAGCATAAATTTCGTATAGTGATTGTGCACACACACAAATTAGATTTAATTTCTAATAGAATGCCTGCATGTCTGCTTGCAAGATAGTGTTAATATTTTAAATTATGCTTCCATGTAAATCTGTGATCAAGTAACCTGTATGATTATCGCAGAGTTAACCACTTTGTCTATTTTGGTGAAATTCATTCAGGTCAGTGTACTGAATGCTTCCTGTTAAGTAAGCTTCTTACGTAATCCGAACCTTGCATGCGCTTTCAAATATAAAACTGCAGTTCATGGAAAACAAAGCTAACAGTTTGATAAAAGTTTGATGTTGATGAGATGGTCTTCTGTAATGACTGAAGGAACTGATATTCTTCAGCCAAATGTATCGGCTGACTTAAATTGGATAGCAAAATGGTTAACCTGTGTTATAATTGGCAGTCACTGTATGCAGTATTTATAATGGATATTGAACATGTCTTAACTTTGGCAGATGATCTTCCAAAGCCAAAAACTACTGATGTAATTAGAAAAGGATCACTTACTGAATATACAGCAGCGGAGGAGAAAGAGGATGGTCGGCGCTGGCGTATGTTTAGGATTGGCGAACAGGACCATAGGGTGGACATGAAGGCAATCGAACCGTATAAAAAAGTTATCAGTCATGGTGGTAAGAATTAGTGATATGCTGAGGGGATGTGTTGAAACTACTACTAGAAGAGATGCAGTGTACAGGAAAAAACGGAAAGACTCAGTGATGCTGTGCTTTGCTGTAGTGTAAAGCATATGCTTAGTTTGATGCTTCTTGCATGTTAAACTGAAGTTCCAGAACGTATTTGTGTTCAGCTCCTAACATGACCATTCATAATGTGCTTAGATGTTATTCAGTCTCAGTGTTATGATCTAATTTTTTTTTGTTGTTGTTTTAAGAATGTTGAAAGAAATAGCTTTGGGTTTGCTCAGGCAAAAATCAATTTACTGACTCTAGCTTAACAGTCTACGAAGTTTAGGTAGGAAGAAAAGTTGGCCATCAAAAACATTAAACGTACTGAGATGTGGAGTACGGGTACAGCACTTTAATTGCATCTGTTTCCATTATTTCTCTAAAAGCAGATGAACTTTAAAAAAAAATATATATATATATATATATTTAATAATTATAAGCAAAATCTTTTTGCAAACAGACTGACACCTGTTCTTACCTCTTCCATCCAAGTGGTTCCAGGGGATCAGTCTGGTGATAGGTGATGTATAATGCGTGTGTGCTTATCCATTCATATACCATTGGTGTTTGCAAAGCTCTTTAAGGGAAATAATGGGAAAAACTTACTGTACATTCATGACTTGTCTTTGAGCAAAAGTGGTCAAGATATAATCACTATAGTCACTACTGCTGCCTTTTTCTTTGTAGGTTATTATGGTGATGGGTTAAATGCCATTGTTGTGTTTGCTGTTTGTTTTATGCCTGAAAGCAGCCAGCCTAACTACAGATACCTAATGGACAATCTATTTAAGTAAGTCATCACCTGCCTCTGAACACTACCTCGGTTTCATACTGTAAAACTTTAATAGTATCCTTTTTTTTGGGAAGCTTTTTCTTTTAGGTGAGGGAAGGGTAAAACAATACAGCAACTATGTCTAATTCCAGGGAAAAAAGTGATTGGATGTTGCTTAACGCTGTTGTCTTTCAATATTTGGGCAGTACTAGGAACTACTTCAATATCCACAAATCTTCACTTGAGCATTTTCTTTCCCTGTGTTTGCAGGTATGTAATTGGCACTTTAGAGCTACTGGTAGCAGAGAATTATATGATAGTGTACCTGAATGGTGCGACAACACGGAGAAAAATGCCAAGCATAGGCTGGCTTAGAAAGTGTTACCAGCAAATTGACAGAAGGTAAGAAGTTCTGCAGTGTTTTCTCACAATGTTTGTGTTCAGTGCTGTTTAATGAGGTGTCTGTTAATCATTAAGATATAATTGTGAAGCATATTGTTTGTTGTATTGAAAATCTTTTCTGACATCTTGTCAGTGTAGAATAATGGTATAGATATGCTTGATTTTTTTTCTTCCATTTTTATAAGTGAAATCATGGTGGATGCTGTTACAGTGTAGTATTTTGTTAAACATTCTTATGATAATAAGGTGGGTCTCTTGGCCACTTCATTGCAAATATGTTAAAAAATAACTTTGGTTGTTAAAATGATGCTAGCCTTTTAATTCTGACTTTGTATTTTTCTAGTGCTTTCTTCAGGCAGACAGTAATTTCAAGTAATGGGATATCAGAGTGCTAGATCTAAATAAGAAAGTTGTAATTGCAAAAACATGTTTTGTGTATGTATATATATATATATTTATTTAAAGCCTTTTGTCATGTTACCTTTTTGCTCTAATACTTATTTTCAATGTTTGAATCCTTCAGGTTAAGGAAAAATCTGAAGTCATTAATCATAGTTCATCCTTCTTGGTTCATCAGAACACTTCTGGCCATCACAAAACCTTTTATTAGGTAATAATATGGATGCTGTTATTCTTTTTATAAATTTAAATCTTTAACTGTTTAAATATTGACCTAATGAATACTTCTTACATTGTAACTGTACCCTGCATTTGTTCTTCCACAGCTCAAAATTCAGCCAGAAAATTAGGTATGTCTTTACTCTGGCAGAACTAGCTGAACTCATCCCCATGGAATACGTTGGCATCCCAGAATGCATAAAACAGTACGTCTTATAGTTCAGATGTGTTGTATGTTGACCATGTTTAGGAAGTGGTGTATAATATATTCAGTGGTTGGTTTGAATGTAATACTTGATATTTAATAAAACTGCTATGTCTAGGAGGAATTGCTGAACTACAGTTTTAATATTCCATAGAACAGAAGGAATGCTAATGTACAAGGACTCTCCTGTATAGCGTCTCACATAATTAGCAGTTTATGATGTTTAGTCTTCTGTAGAATTAGGCCTTGCTGCAGTTGTTCTACTTATTGTATGCTAAATGGGCTTGAGTAAGAAATTCTGTGCACTTATGTTGAACTTATTTATGGTATTTTCGCTGTTCATGCTACACTGCACTACAAATTAAGGCGTGAAATATCACTTGGGTAGGGATTTCATTTGAAGAAAGCTGTGGATAAGAAGTGCTTGAATCCTTACCCATAGTACTACTTTGGCAGAGAGGGGAGGCAGTACCGATGTCCTTGATTTTCTTTTTTCCTTCTGCTCTTCCTTCCTCTCAGATCTTTGCCATATAATATCCATTTAATGTCAGCACAACTCTGCTCTCAAGTGTGATAATGACACTTGAACAGAATCTGTGGCTGCAGTAATAAAGAGAAATCATAAGCTTTTGTCTTGAAAAAGCTAGATGGAAATAGTTCTGTCAGTAGATTAATTGGAAGGCAGAACATACAGAGTCCATGGATTATGTACCACAATAGGTGATCACAGATGTGATGGCTAATGGAGAACGCTATGAAGGAAGATGGTGTAGTATCACTTTGGGCAGAGCATCACATCCATGTTGGATAAACTGACTGCTGGGTACCACAGTAAACATTCAGCTGGTTTAGTTGTCAATTTTTTTTTTTTTTAAGCATAGAGCAAATGCAGTTTTTTGTTGAGGGTGAAAGATGTGACAGTTGGAGCAGCCTTGTGCTACTCTGAGAATTTTCTCATGGGATTTTTTGAAGGATACGTTAGGGAAATTCAGGCTGTCATTCCAAGTCTTATAAAGCTACTTTCTGTATTAAAGAATTGCTTGGGTTGGAAGGGACATTAAAGCCTATCCAGTTCCAACCCCCTGCTGTGGGCTGGTTGCCACTACTGTATCAGGCTGCCCAGGGCCCCATTTAGCCTTGCCTCCAGGGATGTGGCATCCACAGCTTTTCTGGGCAGCCTGTTTCAGTCTTCAGAGGTCAACCAAGCTCATCCTTTATAGTAGTTAATTATCAGACAAATGGGTACCTGATCTGATCTATCTAATTTGATATCTGTTTTTAAACTATTAAGAGTGTAGACTTAAAACTTCAGCGATGGATAAATACTGTGCAGGAAGTTGTTCTGGTAATTAAAATTTAATACTAATTATGTTGAAGATACAAAACTTTTTTTTTTTGTTTTTTTCATTTAAAAACTTGGTATGTTTCCACAAAATATATTGACAGTAATACCAGTTTGTAGCTTCTATTGAATTTGGCCTTTGTATATTTACTGAAATCAAACTTTTCCCCACAAAGGTATGAAGAAGAAAAGTTTAGAAAGAAACAAACAAGGTATATTCATGTTTTGATGAGGGTTGCATCTAGATAAAACTATTTGCACTGCAACTAACTCCCAGATGATTGGCTTATATAAAGGAATAAGCATTTGTAAATATAAACAAGCACTAGTGACCTAGTTGTTATGCATGAAAGTAATGTCTGAGAACTCACATATTTGTAAATAGTCTCTACTATTAAATGTGATTCTGAGTTTTAAGGGGGGTGTGTGGATTCTTAACCATATCTTCAAGAGGCGAAAGCATGCTTCTGTATGAACAGATTAAATTGTTTCACTGTTTCTAACAAGTGATGTCTAAAGAGCTGTTCTTAGGTGCTAAGCTGTAGTATGCAGCAGAGGCACAACTGTGGAGGAAATTCTAATATTGTATTTAGTTTCATATTAACTACCTTTTTAACTTGCACAGATGCAATTTAATGTTTTTAGTGCTGTTTGTATTTGCAGTGCGTGTATTCCTTGGTAACAGTCATTAGATTTTCACTTTTGCTAACCATTCAAGCTATCCTAGTAGCTGTGTTAACTTTTTTTTGCTTTTACTTTTTACTGTGTAACTAACAAATGTACTAGAATGTTCTGTTATTAACTTCACCTTATTTGGCTACTCTTCTGTGTGTGTAACTATTGAGGGAAGCTTATTGTCTAACTTGGGTAATGACCAAAGAAACAGTGAAATGAAAATTAAAAAATAATTCTCTCTGGAAACTTGCACGTGAAGCTACTTCACCAGGAATTACTCCAGTTAAGAGAATCTTGTGATGCTGTAACCTTAATTTCTAAGAAAGCTGAACTTAAGAAACCCATTCAGTATATACTGAACAACAATTTTACCTGCTTCTTTCCAGCATGCACGGTTTGACTCAATTGCATTGCAGGGCCCATTGTATTCAGGCTGTAAACCTGAGACATTCAAAAAGTAATGTGTGAACTTGATAATCTGGAGGAAAAGTGGCACTCTTAAGCATCCCTGTCAATGTTGACACTTGTACTACCATTACTTTTCACAAAAGTTTTAATTCAAAACTTAATACTGAAGTAGACATCTTGATCACAGGCACTAAGTGGCTGTGAGATATTAATCGTGTTGAAAGCAGCTGTAGGCATTATTGTCATATGGGAAAGGAGACACTGATGTTTTTTTATGAAGAGTGTTGTGGATGGCAGTAGGAATTCTTTGGCTATGCATACGTCATGTTGGAAGCTAGAGTATGATATGTTTCTGTGGATTTATATTGCTTGCTATAGGTCAATGCATAGCCAACTTGCATTAGCTTACCATATTTTCTTGTGCTTCTTATAATTCTACAAGTCGTGTCAAAATATGCTTTCCTAAATTACTGCAATGAGGGATGAGTTGCAGCAGCATACTGTGCAGGTGAACCGTTCCTTAATTAGGAATGTTTCTAAATACCACTGCTCCAGATTTACTGAATCCATTAGGTGCAGTTCATAAAAGAGTAAAAAGTAGAACATCTGCCTCCTGTTTTTATGGGTTCATGACCTGGAAGAGTTGTCATTGTTTTAATCACTTTGAAGAAACTGGCTGACCATATCATTGGAGAGACTGAACAGATAGGCTAGTCAGCTCAGTTGTTAGAAGAAAACTTATCCTGAGCCTCTGTTGCTTTGGAACTATGATTGGTTCTAAAGTTAAGTGATTTTCATTATTTTCCAGAAGATATAGCTAAGACTGTAGTTGGTTCTTACTGTAAAGATGAGAAGTACATTTCATGCAGCACTGTGAGCCATCCCCTGGCTTCTGCAAAGCAACACGTTGTTCAGTGGTCCCAAGGTAGATACAGAAGCCCCTCAGAAATGAATTTTTCCTGGGTAGTCAAAGGAGACTTACAATTTAATAGAAAGTATTGCAGTTAAGGAGCCACTAAACTCTTGTTAATTAAGTTTTTGCTGTTACCTTCTTGGCTTAATTACTGTAAAATTGAAGATAATTCTGTGCTAATACTGAAGTGTATGAGTTCATCAAGTAGCAGCACCTGATAGTATTGTTAACTGAGAACTTGTATTCCCGCTTGTATTTATTAGTAAGAGTACAGAACCTGCTCTTTTTCCTTGCTGTGCAGTCAAATTGCACTTGTGCTTTTCAAATGCAATACTTACTTTAATGGCTTCTTAACAATTGTAATCAATTTCGAGGGGAAAGTAAGAAAACAGACTTCTTAAACATCTTATTGTAACTGCATTTAATAAAAATCTTAACTATTCAACATTTACATGCTAAAACTTGTTCCATGCAAGAGCTTTCACCTTTTTTTCTGTTAATATTAATAGTTTTGCTTAATATATAAGCAAACTAAATTTGTTTTTAATACAGTTTTAACATCACTGTTTTCTTTACTAAGCAGAGTTGACCAAGAGCTGAATGGAAAACAAGAGCAGAAAAGTGAACAGTAAGTTGGGAGACAAAACAAGACTGAAGAATATACAGATGGATTTATGCTATTTTCTCCATTTATGATGCATTCATGTGTGTATATATTACATAACTTGTTGCAAGAGGTGCTTAACTTTAGACTGGCACACAATGGACTCTTCACTGCTGTACTGGTTTGTCTTGATTTGAGTAGCTACCTTTGTGTAATCTTTCTATACAGCCAAATGTCAAAGAACCCCATGTTTAGAGAATGTTCTTACAATTGTTTATCTAAATGATGCATGTTCTTCAGTAAAATATTTATATATCTAAATGCTAAAGGAAAGATAATATATATTTTTATGACTTTGAGCAATACGTTGTGTACCTGCTGAAGGAATTCATTTGCAGGTAGGCAAGGCCATAAACTACTTGTTATTGTATAAAGTGCATGATCTGTTTTTGCTCTGAATGGTCAAGTGCATTTCTTGGTTGTCATAGAAACCTTAATTTGTTTGAAAATTAACAATCACATAACGTAGTCTACTATATGTGTGGAGATGCTTATTTCTGTTCACATCTAATACAAGCAGTACTCATTTACCTCACTAGAGTGAGCTTGAGCTTTGTCTTTTAGTCCACGTCTCAGAACACAGATCTGGAGTTTTCTGAAGTTTTGTCTGTTGGCCAAAGGGTTTAAGCCTAAGCTACAGTGGAAACTAAACTGTAAGTGACTGATATCATACCTTTGTAAATTTAAGCTGCAAATTTCAGATTCTGCTTCAGTAAACGAAGGCTAGTTCAGCTGCCAGGATGAAATGAGGTTGTTCTAGGCTTTTTTTTCGTGGATAAATATCAGTTATCACCAATAGAAATTTTGGTTATTTTCAGTAGAGCTTGAGAGTGGCATAAATATCTTAGCCATAATATCACTTGTGTGCAGAGATTGGGGGAGTCTTACTATTACTGTGTCATCCTTGTAAATGCAGCATCCATTTCTAAAGCTCTTGGCTTGGCACCTGATAGTAGTGTTAACTTCACCAAAAAAACAATATAAAAGGTTTCCTCCTCAGCCCGTAAGGGTAGTAAAGTTGCCTATATAAAAAGTGTTCTTGGATTCCAGGGCAAAAATTAGACACTGATTGATAGCCTGTAAAAGTTTGTGAAGTGTCTTGAGCATTGCTATTTCCGTAAGGACAGATGCACACAAATGAATCCATTCAGGAGTTGAGCAATTAAATGTTTTAGCAAATATTCGATCTTCAGATATTTTTATATGCTCGCAATTTTGTCTCTAAAATGTCAGTTTCATTTAGTGTTATACAGTTCTCTTGAACTTACAACTGCATTCAACTAGATTAATACCTGGCATGGATTAGTAGCAGTCTAGCTTGTTCCATGGTCAACATTTATTAATGACCACTTCATGTAGAATCTCTAATGATACGCATAATAGTCTGGGAACAGATATTCATGTCAGATAAAGATGAACTGCCCATGTCTCTGGGAGTTTGTCTGCGATTCAGAGACTTTCATCTCAAGGTCTAGGTACTTATGCTAGCTTCTGTGTTGTGGTTTCAGAGAGATTAATTGTAGGATGTTCTCTTTCAGGAAGTAATATTCATTTCAAGCTGCCTTGAATCTATTACATCATGTTTGGATCTTGCTTTGAAAGCAGAACACAAATGTGAATGCTTCATTTTAAGGCTTTTTTCCTATTTCAAATTTGATGTTGACCTGGATTAAAGTTAGTAAAGTAGACATTTTCACAATTTGTTTAATGCTTCCACAATGCAACACATATGAACAGGCAAACCTGGAAACCATCCTGATCTTTACTGATTCTGTGTGGGTCCTAGAGTAGATGCTAAGCATTCCAATCCACTCATCTTGTTTCAAATACTTCCTAGTTCAAAGACGTATTCTTCTCAGTAAAGTTGCATTTATAATGGAACGATTGGACTTCTGTGAGTATCTGTCCTGTTCCCTCTCGTGTATATAGTGTCCTTTAGAGTAGACAGCCCTCTGTATAGGGTGAATTCTCAAATAAGATTATTGGTTTTGTTTTTTTTCTGGTGGCTGAGTGGTTCTGCAGTTTCATGTTGCAGTAGTCCCATTTCTTTTGGAAATACTTACCTAAAAGTTTATTTCTTTAGTATTAGTTTTTGTGAATGAATACACTGTAAAACAGTTGTTCTGTCCTGAAAATATACACAGCGTGAGAATACTAAAGAATGATTCTCCTCTGACCTTTTCCAGCTCATCATTTAATGATGAGGGGGATGTTTACAAAAAGCAGAGGTCCCAAAGTTATCCTGAACTCGAATTAACTTGTCAACCTTATATTTTTAAATATATAGAATAATTTAATATATTTTAATATTTAAAAAGTTTGAGTTAGAATTTCATACTTTAATAAAGTTATTTCTTTCTGAATTGCTTTGTGAAAAGTAACAGTATTACAGGGGGTTCACCTTATGCACTTCTTCCTAGAGGTAAAATTTGTGTTGCTAGGATATGTTTTGAGCTCTGTTGATAGATGTTGGAGTCACTAATTCACCTTCAGTCTGGAGGTTTCATGAGTTTGTGTGTATGTATATATATATATATGTGCTAATGTTATTACTGTGTGACACTGAAATGGAGTTGTTTGAGATGATGATCTCTGTATGTGTGTATGTGAGGTTTTATACAAGGAGTTTTACAACGGGAAAAACATTCAGAAGTGACAAAGGTATTTTGGAGAAAGTGTCATTAAAAACTGATGTGGATAGACTCTGGATTGTATAAGTACTCTTGATGGTTTTATGTAGTATGGCAAAGCTGTGTTGTACTGGAAAGTAACAGTGAGGGATGCATAGAAATTTAGCGCTAAATCATACAGAAATCTTTTGAAGTTTTGGAATTTTAAAATACACATTCTCAGTTCAGTTTAGAATTTTCAGTTCCATAGAGCTTAAAACTAGTTAGAGTAATATGTAACCTTCTTTGTAACTTTATGTAGCTTAGCATATTTCTTCATTTCCAGAGAACAAGTGAAGAAGAGTATTTACTTGCTGTTAGGAGCTGTGCATTGAAAACAGTAGTTGTATTCCAAATTGCACACAACTTGTCTATAGCTGGGTTAACATGTTTTGGCAAGTTTCTTGCTTCAGACACTTTAATGGTCTAATGGCAGATTGGGACGTTTCAACAGGAAACTTGTGTCAGACTTCAACGTTGGATGAAATGTTGGTGGTAATGGGATCTTAGGAAATGATGTCACAGTGTGTCAAAAGGAGAAGAGGGCATCAGTGCCTAGTTACAGCCTCACCAGTGTCATATACTGGAAAGTCAATAACTGTGGGGAAAAAGTAATTCAACTAAATCATGAATAGATGGTTTTAAACTAAATCTGTCACGAGCAGTAAGATTCTTGGAGAAAAGTGTATTTCAGTGTCAGACTTTATTTGTGTATCTTGCAGATTTATATTGTATTTATTATGTAGAAAGATGGCTTAAGTGCATCTCTTACCGAAGGTGACGTTAATTCTCAAGTCATTCCAGTCTCCCACAGAAGCCTCATGCGAGGAAGGAGGGGGAAGGGATAATTGCTTGAGTGCTTTCGGTAACCACAGAAGTCTTAGAAGGATTTTGGAGAAAATATGTATTCAGTCCTTGTGGATGCAGGTCATTCTCGAGAGGATATTTTTCATGCTGGTTATTAAGTGTGCTTTAATGATACTTTTCAAGGATACCTGATTTTAGTCAAAGTAGCACTCTGATATATAAGGAATATTTAAATATATTTTGAAAGATATTTTGCAGCTTTCCTAACATCAAAATTGTAAGTTGAACTACACTTTCTCCTGTCACCTCTTGTTCTCTACATTTGGCTAACAGGAATGAGGGCAGTTGTGAAGTAAGAGAGTGCAGTTCTGTTTGTGTTTTCATCATTCCATTCAAGCATGACTGAGATGAATTAAAAGGCTTTAATTTTGCTAAACTATTTCAGATCACTTTTGTTTTGCGATTCAGATAGCCCAGATTATTTGCTTAAACATCTTTTTTTTTCTTTTTTAATTAAATGATCTGAAGAACAACTGGCTTTTTCAATTAAAAAAAAAAAGGGAAATCTGTACCTTACAGTGGTCCTTCCTCTGGCTTACTCAGGGCTGACTATTAGTTGTGACATGAAGTTCCACATCAAAATTTGTTCACAGAAGATAAGTGCTTGATTTCCCAGTGGCTCTGCAGTTCCGCATTGCTTCTTACTCAGCATCTGAACAAGGCCTGTATAGAAAAATGGAAAGGGCCCTTCAAAGGGCTGAAAAATTGTGCAATTATTGGTCTGTACAATGTGGCAAACCTGCAGTTTTTAACTAAATGGAGCAGTCATGCCAAACCATGGTTTATGAATCATGATATAACCAGCTTAAATAATTGACTCTTAGTAGTCATTGCAGATACGATTGTATTTTCCTTTGTCCCTTTTGTATAAAGCTGTGTAAGTACAAGGCTCTTCACCTACCTCTTGTATTATTATTCCTTCTTTTTAACTTCTTTTCTGTTTGCTTTCCAAGATGTCGTGGAGTAATGTGGTGAACATGTCTGACCGTGCCAGCTGTGAGCACTTATCAGAACCTTCCTAATTAGTACATGCTGAATGCAATAAATATTTTTGAAAGAGGTCTGAATGTTTTCTTTTCCTCCTCAGGACTGTATTCTGACTTAAGTCTCGAGGATCTTGTTCTGCCCCCTCCCGCAAAGCATGAAACGTGACGCGGGTGCCGAAAGCGCTGAAGGCGCAATGAATCGAGGCGCCTTTCTGAGGACGTTCGCACCCCCAGTGCTACGCTCGGCCTCCGGCCGCTTTCAGGCCGCGGCGGGACGCAGCCCCGGGGGTGGGGTCAGCTCTCGCACTTCCGCTTCCGGGTCGGGGGTCAGCGTGGCCAGAGCTTCTTCCGGCCGCTGGGAGCGGGTGAGGCTGCGGCGGCGGTGAGCCGGGGCTGGGCCTGGCGGGCGGCTTCGGGGAAACGCGGGGCCGGGGTCGGGACTGCGGGCGGAGTGCGGGGCCGTGCAGCGTCCGGTCCTGCCGGAGCGCCCCGTGACGGCGTTCCGCAACGGGCGCCCTGCGCCGGGGGCTCGAGGCCGGCCGGCCTGGGAGCCGAACGGGAGGCGGACGAAGCCGCCCCGCGAGTCGCGTTCGGGCCGTGCCGGTGCGGCTGTGACCTCCGTCCGCACCGAGCCGCCCGGACTCTCGGCTCCTGCGGTGTGCTGGGCTGCTAAGGGCCGTGTTGCGTTTTGTAGATTTTTCCCCTAGTTTATTAATGAGAGCAAGGATACAGCAGGCGTCCCGAGCCGTGGATGGTCAGTAAGGCGGCCAGCGCCCCGCAGGAACCATGGCCTATCAGCTGTACCGGAACACCACGCTGGGCAACAGCCTGCAGGAGAGTCTGGACGAGCTTATCCAGGTGCGTGCGCCGGGTCGGGGCGGCTGCCGGGGGCGGCGGGGCAGATATAGCCGTGCTGTGGGCGGCGTCTCAGCCTTCAGAACGTTTACCTATTGAGATCAAAAGCGATTAGCGTTACATGAGAGCCTTTAGGTGAACGTTGTAGACGAAAGCCTTTTCTGATGTGGCACCCTGTTGTGTGGTCCAGTAAAGCTATAGCTAGACTATTCTGGAACACTGCAGTCAATTTCCTCTTCTTCTCCTGGTTTCCAACTAACCAGCAGAAATCTTCATATAGCACAAAAAATCTTCTAGCACGTTATTTTTTCTGCTGGGTTTAAGGTGGGAAAACAAAGGTAAATACAGGAATATGGAGCTGTTGGAGCAGGTCCAGAGGAGGGCCACGAAGACCTATCAGAGGGCTGGGGCACCTCCCCTAGGAGGACAGGTTGAGAGAGCTGGGGATCTTCAGCCTGGAGAAGAGAAAGCTCCAAGGAGACCTGACAGTGGCCTTCCAGTACCAGAAGGGGGCCTACAGGAAAGCTGGGAAGGGACTTTTTGTAAGGACAGGTAGTAACAGGAGGAGGGGAAACGGTTTTAAACTGGAAGAGGGTAGATTTAGACTAGATATTAGGAAGAAATTCTTTACTGTGAGGTTGAGACACTGGTTGTGGATGCTTTCTCCTTGGAAGCACTGAAGGCCACACTGGATGGGGCTGTGAACAGCCTAGGCTAGAGGGAGATGTCCCTGCCTATAGCGGGGGGGGCAGAACTAGGTGATCTCATAGGTCCCTTCCAAGCCAAACCATTCTGTGATAATGCTTCTGTAATGCTTCTATAAGCTAATCTTTTAGAGACCTCTTCCCATTAACTTTCTTGTGATATTCTAAGTTTTTAGTGCGGTTTTGTTTTGTTTTGTTTTCTTTTTTTGAATGAAAGAAGAACGACTCAAAACTTGTTTTTACACCACTTCAGTCACAGCAAATCACTCCTCAGCTGGCCCTTCAGGTGCTACTTCAGTTTGATAAAGCTATAAACTCGGCACTGGCACAACGAGTCAGGAACAGAGTCAATTTCAGGGTAAGATAACTGCCGTCAGAGTTCTTGGTAAGCGATGGTGGTTTGAGTGTTGATGCAGAATGACATTAAAAACTGTGTGCTCTGAGCAGAGATTTTAAAAGGTTCTTTATAATTCTGAAATGATGGCTGCCTACTTGTATGTTATGTATTTAATTGTGAAGCTTATTATCTCCCTGTTCTGTTAGGGAATTTTTGAAGGAATGTAGAAATCAGAAACAGGATTTTGGTGGGATGAGAGCAGAGGAAAAAGGAAAAGCTTAAATGTGTAGTGTTGCTGTTGTTAGTGTCCTGCAGATGGGAAGAATTTTGCTCCTTTGAATTGCATTCTGCAGAAGTGAGATAAAGCCAGTTTTTCAGCCACAGCTCTGATAGAAAAGACTAGAGAGATGCAGGTTTACTTTTATATTCTATCTGTTTGCTGTAGGTCTCACAGAAAAACTTTTTTTTCCACAGCCACCCACTTTAGTTAATAGCAGATAGCCAACAAATTATTAAATGTCAATTTGATTGTAGTATTGAGGGAAAAGTTGTCCTAAATATTTCTCTGTGGTCTATGCAGAATGCAGAAATAAAGCATGCTTGTAGGATTTTAGTTTTTTTTTTTATTTTAGTGTTTTTTTCCCCTCACATAATTGTTTTTAATATGTAGCGTAGAAAACTGTTCAGATGATGCAGAACAAAAAAAAATTTATTTGGAGCTTAAGTTCCAAAAGAATCAGCTTAAAATACAAGAAGATAAAGGCCAAAAGGTGTGCATATAAATACCTTTGGAATGCACCACATGTAGGAATACCCTTTTATGTCACACTGATTAGTTTTTTCTTATTTAAACAATTGCAGAATTCACATCATCTGTGATCACTGCTCATATTCCTCGGGTTTTAAAAAATCTTTCCTGGTACTAATATAGGTTACATAGTTCCTTAATGCACGTGAGAAAATGTATAAACCTTTTTAGCATACCTATGAAACTTCCATTTGCATAGACTGTAACGTCCCTGCATTGAAAAGATGCATGGAAAGGCCTTGAAAACTTCAACCACTGGAGGGCATTTAAATGACAGTTTTCCCTGGTTGCTTACTTGCTATGTTTGCATGCATTCAGGTTCATAGTTGGTTTTGTGGCAAGCTTATTTATAGTTCTAGAAGGTACGTAGTTCTGTGAAGAGTAAATGTCATATTTTTTGATATTTTGGGTATGCCACCTTAGAAAATATCTTCTGTTTTTTTAAAGGGATCTCTGAATACATACAGGTTCTGTGACAACGTATGGACATTTGTACTGAATGATGTTGAATTTAGGGAAGTCACTGAGCTTGTGAAAGTGGATAAAGTGAAAATTGTAGCATGTGATGGAAAAAGTAAGTATAAAATACAATATATTTTGTAGTATTAACCAGTTTGCTAGAACAGCACCATATTTTATTGAAATGAAATACTGTTTCATCAGTCTGAGCAAGCAATTATCTCATAACTGTTGGAGCAATTGATTGCTAGATTTGGTAGCGTGGGACCCATGCACATGAACAGCTTTTGATGGCATGGCAGATGACATGATGCAACTGATGTCTTGCTCAATGGGCCCACTGTATATAACTGCCTATAGGAGTTTATCCCCCATCTGCTTGACTGGATTACTTTTGTCAGTGTTGCTTGAAGTTCTTCACTGGAAAAAAAATCATTTAGTGACTATTGTGGCAAGCTGCTTCACAACTTTTCCAACCATTGATGTGACAGAATGTCATTGATGTGTGAAAAGGTGCCGGTTTTATCCTTAGCAGTGATGCTAAAAGGAAGAACTGAGAATGGAAAAGGCTTTAGTTATATGTAACCTGGACCCACGAAACAAATTCTTCATGGTTTCTTGGATTCCGGCATGATTATAGGGGTCATGTCAACTTGTAGTTCTAAATAGTTGTCAGAATTTACTGTTTGTTCAGCCTCTGCTGTTAGCTAAGCACATAATCCTACTCTGTTTATTTTTGTGTGCTTGTTAGAGCTAGGAGAGGAAACCTTACTTTCAACTTATTGGAGATATTCACTCACATGTATGCAGATAAGGTTTAAAGGACTGGGTGATTTAAAGTTGTTACTAAAATTTCAGCTCTTTTTCAACAAAAAACTTGCTTAAAAAAATCGTAGTAAACATTGATGTGTCTTCCACTTTATCCAAAGATCAGTATTTTTTTCTACAGCGCTAAGAACAAAAAAGCAGTGCCAATAGTGATAGCAGAAATTGCACTGGTACTTCTGACAAAAGTTCAGAACAGAGTATTGCTCTCAGTTATTTTATGAAGGTCATGCTCATTCTCCCAGGTATTTACAAATGCCTGATACGTATACTATGGTAGCACAGATTCCATAGGAGCTTTTGCTATGAGATGTGTTAACTTTTCTCTTTGGCAGATCATGTGATTTAGCAAGATATGCTTGTGACTGACTGCAGTAAAGTGCATAGCACTGAGTTAGAGCAAAGCCTACTCTATTTTTGGTACCTTGCTAGCAGATGATATGTATGCACAGCCTTGAAGTTTTGCAGTAGCTCTTCTCGGTATCACTAAATGAAGTGAAACAGCACAAGCAGTCCATGCCTCGCATCATAGCAGTAAAGTGAGTTGGGTAGGTACAGAGTATGTGCTCTATTAAAAGGCTTGGGGGGATGTTTTTGAGTTTGAGGAAGGTATTAAAGAGTGGTGCTTGTTCTCTTTAACTTAAGTCTGTGGGGTGGTGTGTATTACATTGCCTTTTTTCTTTCCTAGACACTGGTTCCAATGCTGCAGAATGAATAGAACTGTGGTTTGCCTGCAATATTTTCTGTTAATACGCAGCACTTTCTGGAGAGAAGCATGGAAAGGGACTGTGTTTGTACTTGCATTACTTGCATCTTGTGATGCAGATGTGAGTTAATCCGTACTAAAAAAGCATCACAGGAAAACAGTGGAAGAAATACCTGTAGCATTTCTTCAGTTCACCATGTGGGGCATGAAGAACACAATGTTACTTCTTTTTTAAAAAGTTACAACGATACTGTTGCCTTTTTTGTTCAAAATAATTTCTCTAATAAACTTTTATTTAAAAACTTGTGAATGAATGAGTGATCATTGGAAAGCTTTGTTGAAAAACAGACAATATATTCTTGCAGTATTCTAGAATTGTTTTTATAGTACTGTTGCAAATTCAAAGGGCTTTCAGTTGTGGGGTCTAATCTGAGTGTGGTTGCAAAGACTGGTACTACAAGGAATGGCATTTTCAAAATAACATTATAAGACATCAGCAAAAACTTAGCTCATGCTCATCAGTATACTTTTCTGTTTATTGCTGTATCTTATCATCATACTAAATAGACAATAGGTGTCTATAGATGTATTTATTACTTGGTAGATAGTAGGTATCTGTAAATACCAAATCCATTTCGTACTCTGTGCTAGTAATACATTGACTTGAGTATTAAAATATTGTTGCATAGCTCATGAAAGCGAACCTTAAGGATTGCACTGTGTTCTCAAAAAATATTAGTGCTGCTTATTTTTATGTTGATCTAATTACTCTTTGTATCTGTGCATGTCTTTGGCCTGGAATAGGTCTTTAGAAGGTATTTAAAACTAGAAATTTCATGCTCTCAGTCAGAAGTGGGAGAAGTGATGAGCACCAAAAGCCTCAGTTATTGAGGATAAATTAGAATCCTTCACCCTCCAAACCTGGAATATCTTCCATAGAGAAGATTTTTTTTTTCTTTGCATGAAAGGATTTCACAGACTTGCTTCATAGACATCTCCAGATATTGTGATTATTACAATTTTTCTTTTGTCCTGCATCTCTGTTAAAATGTCTGTGTACTGCAGTTTGATAAGAAACTGTTCTGAAACCAAAAGAACAACACCATTGCTCTTATTTGAACAGCATGGTAGTTGTCTTCTGAGATCACTGTCTTGAAGGATGTAAATGCATGTCCCTCCTGTAGTTTTCTCTTTTGTTGTCTTAATCTTCTATGTTTAAAAGTTCTCTGATAATTGTGGGGCAAACTAAATTTTAACCCTAAGAAATCTGTTGGTTGTTCCTACCTCCAGCTCTGCAGTCTTTTTCTCTTTGGACCAAAGCTTCTCAATCTCCAGCTCTCTGTAGCCCTTGGACTCCTTTCTAAAGCAAATAAGATATACTGGTTTCAGTTCCAATTAAGTGTGCATTAGCATATTTACTACAGTCTTTTTCCACTTAAAAAAAAAAAAGCAAAAAAAGCAGCATTACACTGTGTAATGTGATCTAAGGTTTATGTGTAGAATGAATTTGTTAGCATTTCCTTCATACTCCTCCATCAGACTTCTCTTGTGTTTCAGCAGTTGTACATTGCTACATTAGCACTTGCATCCTTGGAATTATTTTAGTTGTTAACTGAAAGAAAATACATAACTTAAGAAGCACTGATTCACTTCTTTGCACGTGTACATGTGCAAAGAAAACTTCCAAATGAAGGAGAAATAATTTGAATGCTGAAGATGGCTGCTACTTAGTAATTGGTAAAATTCCAATCAATGTGAGTGTGATCAGAAATGGCAATTTGTAAATTCAAGACAGTTTTACTGACTTGTTTAAAAAAAGGAAAAAAAAAAAAAAAAAAGAATAGTAAGAGTTCTGGTGGAGATCTAGGTGTGTTCCTTTGGAGAAAGATGATTGGCTACTCTTCAGTGATGCCTCACAGTAATACTCCCAACGTGCTCTAATTATCTGTTGATTCGTGTTGCCTTGCTTTGTAAGGAAGTATTTGAAAAGGAGATGGACGCTCTGAAATGAATTTAAATGTGCAGAACTTAAAGCACTCAATTCTTTCCATAGTGGAAAAATGTGCAAATGCTTAAATACCACTGAAGTTCTTGACTAGCCTTTTGTTTGGCCTGAGTTAACCAAGTACCAAAAAAAGCAACATGGATGAAAAGTATGTTGCATGTTGTACTAAGATTTTTTTTTCATATCCAATGCAAAACTGTTTCACTGGCTAGAGCATCAGCATGCTTGCTGCTACCTGTTTGGTTCTTCCAGCTATAATGGATTGGTTCACTGGTTTGTTGGGGTTTGTTTTTTTTCCAATTTATTTCAGAAAAGTCTTGGTGGCTTCCAGCTGATTCTGTGAATTTCCACAATGCACAAAACTAGATGTGAGCTAAAGCAAGCAAGCAGTCAGGGGTGTGAGTATTGCTTCAAGTGTTATCAGAGAGAGAGATTAAGAGAATAGTGAGTATGGAGCAGAAATAATTATGAATTTCCAGAAGATGGATTTTGTCAGGGTCATTTTGTAACACAGTACAATGAGGTAGATAAGATTTAATGGCAATGTGGATGTTTGTTTTGCTGCATCTTCAGCAACATAGGAAGTAGTATTTCAATGAAAGTACTAGTGGCTTGGTTTTGCTTCTCAGTCCTCTAAGAGTTCCTAGGTGAACGTGGGGAAAAAAATTAATAAGTAATAAATAATAAATAGGAGGAGCATAGTAAAAAGTTTTTGAACTCTAGTGAAGACTGTAATGGGAGATCTAAACTTAAGTTTCACTATCATTAAAGGGAGAACTTAATTAGGAAATTAGTTTTGCTCAAAGATGGATTTTATTGTATAAGTTGTTCAGATTATGGTGGTGTAACCAGTGACCAAATCAATTCTGCTTATGGTGGCAAGTATTTTATCAGTATTTTGTTTCTGAAGATCATACTTCTTTCCAGTTTGTTTGTAAATTTTACCTGTAAATGTTTACCTGTACATTTATTACCTATACATTTTTCCTCCAAATTTATTTCCATTGACCCATTTCTTTATTATAGCACATCTCAGAGAAGATCATATAAAACACGAAAGAAATGCAAACCAAGATGCTCTTGACTAGAGTGACCTGACTGTTGATGGACTCTTTAAGTATGTGTTACAACAATTTCAGCTCACAGAATCACAGAATAGCCAGGCTTGGAAGGGACCTCAAGGATCATGAATCTCCAACCCCCCTGCCATGTGTTGTTCTTGCAAAAATAAAAAACATTTGGATTAAAGACAGGTGAGTTGTTTTGTTGGTTTTTTTTTAATCTGTTATTATTTTCAAAATTGTAGTTTCACCTTCCTCCTGCACATATCTTGAATGGCAGTTTGCAACATGCTTCCTCCTTAAGCAGCTGGTAGTTTGTTTAACAATCAGATTGTTAGTTAACAACTGATCTGTAGACAGAGGGGTCACAAGTAGATTTTCATGCTCCCACTGGACCAAGCTAATTGTAAAACTTCTGATGCAACTGTGTTTCCAACTTAGTTCAGGATTTTAGTGATGAAGTTCATAGGGTATTTAATCTGTTTTTGAGGGATGATTCTATATTCTACTTTGGGCTAAGTTTTGTCCTCGTTTATTGGCAACTTGTTCTTCTCCACAGTTCTACAGCTAACCTTGCCCAACTGCATCACTACTTTGTGTCCCTGTCACCAATTTTCTGAGATGCTACTGAACTTATTTCTGCGATACTTCGAGATCTGTGGAATACAGAATTACACACGGTTATTCAGTGATGTTTTTTTATGTCTCCTTATCATTACAGATGATAGTAATATACGTCACTTTTTTATTTGTATCACTGCTTTCTAATGTCAAATTTCTAATGTCTGTGGAAGAGGAAGTGCTGTGAACATTCCTTTGCCAGTATCTTTCTATCTTAGTTCACTTTCTGAATTTGGGAGTAGCCTCATGTTCCTCCAGAATAAATTAGGTTACTACTGAGAGGGTGAGTTTAAAATAAATTTGCACAAGATATACCTTTGTTTTAGGAACCAAAATTCACGGAGATAAACTGTGAGTAACCAAATTTTCAAACGCTGTTGCTGATGGTAAAAATAGTATAATCATGTTGAAAAAGTAAATATTTTGTAAGAGAGTGCATACAACCCATGAGGTGTCAGAGAATGGGAGTCTGACTACTCGTTGACTGTTTCCACCCTTGTTTCCACCTGACTGACCATGTACTGTGTAAAAGACTGTATCCAAAACACACCGAAGATAATCAACTACCTCAAAATACTACGGCGTAATCCTACAACAAAGATTTGGGAGCAAAGATTCTCAACCAAAATAGTTAAGAGTTAGAACTTATCAAGAACCAACTGTTCAAGGTGGACAGATTAAAAACAACACTTGGTGAATTGGGCGGATGGATTCTATTTAAGGACTAAATATACTTTAAAAACGTCTTGATGTAATTATTTTCATATCTATCACTTTATAAGATACTGCTTTTGTGATGTTACAGGCATATGTTTGCAGCACAAAAATACTCTGTGTGTGTAGTTAAACTAGTTCCCCAAGAAGGGGTAAAACGTGTAGATTGCTGGTCCCACCTGAGGCCTTCCTATTCAATGGGCAAGTGTTTCCAGTGTGGACAAATGCTATATTTTAACCAGGAAGAGCACAGATTGCAATATGTAATATTAGAAGAGAAGTTAGTTTGAGTCTGCCAAGAGACTTACGTGAAACTATGGCTTTTTAATAGTTTTCAGATCTATGTGCTTGTTGCTCTGTCTCCATTTTATTATTCATTTGTTCGTTCAGGGCTCTCTGTCAGTCACAGATAAACCTTTGCTGATATTTATCCCGTATAAGCAACACTTTGTATTTCTGAGAGAGGAAACAACTTTAAAAGTTGCACGTATCTACAGAAGGATGGAGACAGAAACTACTGTGATAAATCTGCAAGTAACCTGTAAGTACAAATCTTTCTTTAGAGATGCATTTACTAAACAACAGAGAGGTCCCTCCTTTGGGAATCTTTCACTGAGTTTCCCTGCTGCCCCAAGAACATTTTTACTCTCTGTAGGTGTTCAGAGGGTTCTTCACACGGCTGGAAAAACATCAACCAAACCTGAATCTATCCCAGTCCTGCCAGTGAACCACTGACAGCAGTTCACCACTTTGGGCTAATGTTTATTAATCTACAATGAATGAATGAGCTACAACATGCAAAATCAGAGTAGGCAGTTTGGATGCAGTCTTCTATGCTGGGAAATGTGAGTTCTTGCTCCAGGTCAGCTCAGATGTTCTAAGTGAACATACTGCACGTGGCTGTATTTGTTATTTAATGCTGAATTGGCTGCTGAAACCATTTTAAGTTGTACATGTTACCAATAGAAACTTTAATCTCCATAGGAACAGATTTCTATTTACAGTACCTGGAAACCATTTCCCAATAGATTAATCAATCCTACTGCTTTATTTACTTCTTGGGGAGGGGCGGGAGGTTGGGAATGGGAAATAAATGTCCAGTGCTGGGTTCAGTGTTAATTTGACAGCTTGTCTTGCCTTTTTTTGCCTACAGCAATCACTGTGACTTCACTGAGCCATTTCAAAAATCAGCATTTATCATTTTATTTTAAAATGTCCAATAACATTACAGCAGCACACCTTGTTAAGTCAGTCATTTAATCACTTATTGTTTAAATCAGTGTTTCAAAGAACTGCGTGGCTTCAGTCATAATTTCACTTCATCTAAATGCAGCGGGCTATTGATTTCAGACATTCTTTGGCTGATAGTCATTCCCCACATGAGACTCTGAACTTATAAAGATGAAAGTGTTTACTGATTAGCAAATCATTAGGAAAAAACGTTACCAGCACAGAGGCAACTGAAATAAACTCTCAGCCTCTCCGTGAGGAATTGCTGGGTGTGCAGAAGGAGCTGACCTTAAGGAGACCTGGGTGAAGCACCTGTGGGTGAGGTACAAAAGTTGACCAAGTTTTCCTACAGCTTGTAGTAATTTCAGGTAAAAAAAAAGAGCGCATTGAATGTTTTTGTTCCTCTAAAAGTCCAGCACGCCCCTGGATGGGGCAGTTACACCACAGAGAGCACTCTTCATAAAAATAACCTCTGTGTGGAGGAAAAAGGCAGAGGAAGGAGGCAGGCAAGGGGGGTTTGTGCACAGCTCTCCACATAAACGTCCTGTACCTGTGCTGCAGGGGCAGAAGGGCTGGAGCAGCTTTCCTCAGGTGCGTACAGGGCACAGAGCACCGGGGGCTGTCTCTTTTGGTACGTTTGCTTTTATTAAAGGGGCTTTCGTGTGGCTGGTGGCTATGGCCAGCACTTAGAGGATTCCCGAGTGACCGAAACAGGAGCAGCAGCCGATGTTGAGCGGGGCGGGCGCCTTACAGAAAGGCCGATTAATTGTATCGCCTGACCACCTCAGCTTGTCCCGTGACCTAACAGCGAACCTTCGGCGTCACTTCTGCGAGCGGGACCTCGCACAGAGCGGAAAAACACCGCGCTCGTTCGCTTACGGCGGGGCCGGAGAGCCCCCGGGCCGCCTCTGTGCGGGGTCGGCAGCGGCGGGAGGAGCCCCGGCCCCTCCGCCCCACGGCTCCGCCGCTCCCGCACTCGGAGCGCGCCGTCCCTTCGCCCGCGGGCTGCGCCGGGCTCCGAGCGCCGCCTCGCGGGGTCCGGCAGTTCCCGCCGCCCGCTCACAGCCCGCGGCCGAGGAGCGCCTTACGGCGCAGGTGGCTCTCGAGACACTGGATGGCCGCATCGTCTACTTCGGGGTCGAACTTGTTGGCCAGGAGCTGGCGCTGCCGCAGCATCCAGGCCACGTCCCCGGCCCCGTAGACGCAGACGCTGTGCTGGAAGCGGCCGGTGCAGGGCGGGTAGGGCGCTCCGCGGCTCGTGTCGCCGCCCAGGTACTGCCACTTGACCAGGCGGGGCAGCGCGTTCATGTCGGACGTCTGGAACTTGTCGCTGTGCGGCACGGCGCCGGGCACGCCGGGCGCGCGGTGCAGCGTGGCCCACACGTGCTCGTCGGGGCTGTAGGTGTCCTTGGCCCAGTCGAGGAAGCGCTGCGCCGCGGGGTCCTCCAGCACGTGCCGCACGAAGGCCCGCGTGGCCGCGATGTAGGCGCTGCCCGTGAACATCGGCGAGGACAGCGGCGGCGGCGGCTTCTCCGTGGCCGTGCGGGAGATGAAGCTCTCCACGCGGTGCCGGTACTTCCAGCGCTCCTGCTTGTAGGCCGTCGGCTTCTCCGACTCCATGCTGTTCTGCCCCTGCAGCACCTGCAGCGCGCGGACCATCTCCGCGTTGGTCTTGATGGGGAAGTCGGTGCCGCACGTGTTGAGGACGTAGCGCCAGGGCACGGGGCTCCGCAGCAGGTCATGCATGCAGTTAAGGTCGGCCTGCAGCCGGGACCAGGAGGCGTACACCACGCTCTCCAGGCGGCTGGCCACGAAGACGTTGGGGAAGCAGGCGGCGATGGCCCGCACGGCCTGCTGGAAGGCGGCGGGAGCCTTGCCGTCCACGTGGACGCAGTAGACGTTCTGAGGGGCGTAGAGAGAGCGCAGGAGCCGCTCGAACATCTCGATCTTGTGGTGGACGACCATGGAGTAGGCGATGGGGAAGTCGGCCTCCTCCTCGCTCAGCGGGAACTCGATGTAGCGCCGGCTCTCCTTGAAGCTGCCGCAGTCCTTCGTCATGTTCAGGTACTCCTCGGGGCTCAGGGGCTGCCTTTTGTTCTTCACCTCTAGGTTGCTCAGCAGGGCGTCCCGCACCGCTTCCTCGTCCCCGCGGACCACCCCCGCGCAGTCGAGCTTCCAGCGGGGCTCCAGCCGCAGCGCCCCGTACAGGCGGTCCCGGCAGCGCGGATGGGCGTCGCGGCACGGCCGGTTGGTTCCGCGCAGCGCCACGGCGGCGGCCAGCAGCAGGGAGCCGAGCAGCACCACGCTGCGCCGCCGCGCCGCCGGGAGCTTCTTCTCGCACAGCCGCATGCCCGGCCCGCGCCTGGGAGCGAAGCGTTGCCCGTCCGGCCCGCCGCTGCCTCGCCCCGGGGCGCCCCGCGTCGCCTCGAGGAGCGGTGAAACGATCGTCGCCGTGCGATGAATGGGCTGACGGTGCCGCGATCCTGCCGGGTGAAACAGCGGCGGGGCAGTCACCGCAGGTGAATAAAAGGAAGTCCCCTCCCTCTCTCCTTGCTGCGTGACTGTTTCATTTTATTAGTGCTTGGATATCCTGTCTGTCAGCGTGAAAGAAAGTATTTTATCTTACTGCTTACCAGTCTGTGGAGCAAGCAGAATTCTTCTAGAACGCAACCTTGTGCTTTTAAAGAGAAGTATTACTAGATGACTGTGGGATGTATGCTGCTTTCCCAGTGTTTGCATCGTGTCAGGGAGTGACAGCAGCAGTGTTACAGGGGGGAGGCCCCTGCAGCAGCGTGTTTGCTAGCCTGGAACATTCAGGGCTTTAGTGAAGGATTATAGAATCATAGAACGTCTTGGGTTGGAGGATACCTTAAAGCCCATCCAGTTCCCACCCCCCCGCCATGGGTAGGGTTGCCAACCAGCACATCAGGCTGCCCAGGACCCCATCTCATCTGGTTGTGAGTGCTGCCAGGGATGGGGCACCCACAGTTTCTCTGGGTAGCAGTGCCAGGGCCTCACCACCCTCTGAGTAAAAAAGTGTCTTTCTAATATCTAACCTAAATCTTCGCTTGTTTAGTTTAAAGCCGTTTCCCTCCTGTCCCATCAATATCAGAACATGCAAAAAACTGGTCCTCCTTATGCTTAGAAGCTCCTTCAAGTACTGGAAGGCTGTGATGAGGTCTCCTCAGAGCCCTTTATTCTGCAAGCTAAACAAGCCCAACTTCCTCAACTTTTCTTCATAGGAGAGGTGCTCCTGCCCTCTGAGTATCTTTGTGACCCTCCTCTGGACCTCCTCCAACAGCTCCACATCCCTCCTTTACTGGGCGCCCCCAGGCCTGGACACAGCACTCCAGGTGGGGGCTTACAATGGCAGAGCAGGGGGAGGCCACTGAGGGGGAATCATTGCAGATGGTGTTTGGTGTCTGCTCAAAGTAGTCTTTGTTTTTGCAGTAGGAGCAGAGGGTGAAATCAGAGGCCGTGGGTTATAGATGAATAGCCACAAAGTGTCTGCTTCAATAAAGGAGTGAAAGAATACTGGTGCATCTTCATGTGCACCTGCCTGAGCAGTTGTACTGAATCACTTTGTGGTCTGAACCAAGCAAGGAATTTGGTAGTGTGTTTGTGAAGGAGTGTTGGTTCCAAGTGTTGGTTCACAGAAACAAAACTTCTGTTTAAAAAAAAAAAAAAAAAAGAAAAGAAGAAACTGCAAAAGAACTGGACCACTTATGTAAGACTTCCTTAAAAAGTGAAAAGTAGTAAGAATTTGATATTTGTAACTGGAAGGAGGGAGACATTGGCTTTCTGAAATACAAAGAAAGGTGTGTCTCACTATTTATCTAGCTCTAGATACGTCAAGCACACAGAACATGCAGCAGAGCTGAGAACCAGGAATTGTTCTGCATGAGTTTTTGAAAACAGTAGCTATTACATCCTGAATTTCTATACTGAGATTGCTAGTTGAGTGTTCATATGTGTAACTTGCTTCATCAAGTTTCTAAGTTATCTTCAGCTTGCTGCAGAGAGTTGATTCACCTGGACAAAGTGCATTCCAATGGGAAAAAGATAATTCTTGTGAACTTAAGTATATCTAAGGTGATGTCTTTATATTGAATCTGTATTCTGATTTCATTATGCAAACTTCAGCTTTGATATATCTTGTGGGCCAGGAATACATGTTGTAGATACTGTCGATGCGATATAGCACTGTAAACAGTTTTTTCTGCTTCAGTGTTCTAGTTGATCTGCATGTGTCACACCTTCTCGTGGCGTGGTGTCTGGATGAAATCTTCCAATTCTTAGTTTAACAGGAAATGCTGAAAAAGCGATGACTCCACTTGAGAGCTCTTTAATGGGTTTTCATAGCTAATGCCAGTAAGGTGCCTTTTGGTATAACTTTTTGAAAATTTTGGTCTTGTGATTCAGAAACGCAGTGGTGTTTTTCATGAAAGTGTTTTTCAGGAACTTGAAAAGAGGCTGTGACTGTCCTATCACACGTTTGTGTGAATAAACAGCCGCAGTTCTTTGTTACAAATCGGTAAGTCTAATCTGAGACCTGAAAAGTGTATTTTCTGTGTTCTCAGCTGTGACCCTAAGGCTAGCAGTGTATTTGATCTCTGAGCAGCGCCAAAGGCTTAATAAACTACTAAATAAATAACCCCAACCCACTGTGAAGTGGCAGCAGGTTGGTGCTGTTTCATTGCATGCTGGCCAACGATGGGAATGTCATGAACAGAGCCATAGGTAATTCGTTATAAAGTAACATCTTGAAATTGCTGCCATACACACTGATGATCGTAGTCACGTGGAAGATAATCTCTGGACAAATTGTTTTTGCTGATATCTGTATCAGACAGTAATTTTTTTTTTTTTAATAAGGAAAGTAAAATACCAAGTAAAGAACAAATTTTGAATTCGGTTGTCATCATTCTGTGAATTTAATCTCAGGGTGATGAATATGAAACTCTGGTGCTTTCTGTGCTACGTAGCTGTTTGGACATAGATTCCCCTGGGGTTTTTTGTTGTTTTTGAGCAGCAGACTGAAGTAACCTGAAGGAGTTATGCCTCTACAAGAGACTCAGGAATGTCTTCCTTGTCCAATTTCAGGGTGGGTTTAGAACTGCATTGCGTGGGAATTACGAGCTACACGCTTAACTGCAAATGTGAACAAGTTCCAGGGTGGATTATCAATGTATCACTCTGTATGTACTGACCAACAATCCGTGAATGTCTTCTTTGTTATTTAGCATCAATTTTTCTTGGTATTATTTCCTTTTGTGTTCTCTGAACAGGAAGTAGCAATGCACGTCATCAGCACAGGGGGACATTCTCTTTATTCTCTGCTCAGCAGATGAGCTGCAGCTTCCATCGTTAGGATTTAAAACTTTGCAGTTTCTATAGGGATTGGTATCTGGCTTGTCTGATAAGAGCACTGTGCATTATAGACAAGACACACGTCTGAAAAAGCTTGATGAAAATGAGTTCCTCAGTGACAGTTTGGATGAGTAGGTGACATTTCACTTGTGTAATACAGTACACGACAGTGCTGCTATCTCACCATACGGGTTTTTTTCTGTTGCATAATCATGATGAAGAAGCTCAATTCTTAGAGAAACATGGGAGGCGAATTAAATTAACATATTTACTGTCATGCTTCCTGCAAATCTTTCTTTTTCCTTGAGAGAAATGGTAGCCTACACAAACCAAGTATTGTCGGTAAAGTCCAAGATTTAAGAACTTGTTTTCATCATAAAATAAGGATTAAAAACGATTAATTTAATATTTAAAAACTACTAATATTTATGCTCTTATCTGTAACTAAATAAAACTTCCAGAATGCTTCACTGCAAACTGGGGGCTCAAAAAGAAAATTAAACAAAGGTTTGGCTTTGTTTAGCTTTAACATCTGTCTCCCTTTGAGCACAAAAATGGCTGCTTAAATGACGTGTATGCTGAGCAGCTGTCCTAATTATAAGGATACATATAAGGATGCTATAGTACAGCAAGTAATAAGGAACCATCCTACAGTACAGGCAGTGTCTACAAGGTAATCCACAGCCACACGAATATTTGCATAGAGAGAGCAGTAAGCTGGAGGTAGGAGAGTAGACTGCAATGTGAAATGTAGATGATTTCATTGTATTCGGTTTTGCTGTGAAATATTGTTATCTGCAAGAATGTAGATAACTTACCTAAGGTTGTTGTAATATGCTTTTTGCATTTTTGCATCAGGAATTTGATGCTCACAGCACCATGACTTGCCTTTACCCTTTGTGTCTGATAGTTGTTTGGGCTGTTTGTGTGATAGTTGTTTGTGTGTCAGCTAGGTAGTGAAGAGTTAAATAGAAGGAAGTACCTGAAGGAGGTACAAATACCGTAAGCAGAAGTCATCACAGTTTACAAGGTGAGAGTTTAAAGTATGTAAAATATCAGTGAAAAGCAGTATCAAGTAATTGTTTGTGGATGTTTATCCTTTGGCAAAGAAGCAGGAGATATGTCTCTTCCAGTGTATTTTTTTTTTTCTTGCTTGAATTTGTCAAGCAAGGACAGAGGCTGTCTGTAGAGCGGTCCTTCCTCCAAAGTGCCCTTTCTTTGCAGGGCCATGCTTCTAGCCTGAATGCACTGAGCATTTGGATGGTTTCCACAGCATTCCCATGGGCTGCAGTCCTTCGTGAACTGCTCTAGCATGGGTTTTCTGCACAGCCTTCAGTCCTTCAGGGTAAGCCTGCTCCAGAGTGAGACTTTCACTGGCTGCGATTTTTGCCACTAAGCCTGCTCCACATGGGCAGCTCTGCAGGGGCTGTGGCTTCCCTCGGGGCATATCCATCTGCTTGGCAGGGGAAATACCTGCTCTGCTGCCTGCAGCAGCTCCTGCCCTCCCTTCCTATCCTTGGTGTCTGCAGGATGCCCCCATTCTCTCTCACTCTACTGGGCCGTTTCTTTCATCTTTTTCCCCTTTTTCCCCTTTTCTTATCTATATCTATATCTATATTTCTTTTACATACACAGAGGCACCACCAGCTTCACTGGGTGGCGCTTTGTGCCTGGCCTGGGGCAGCCCTTGCTCTGTAATCACATAGGCCCCCTGTTTACCTCCCTTCCAAAACATTGCCACGTAAACCCGGTAGGTTAACCATTGTTTGTACATGGATCCTCTTTTGCTAATTGCTGGGAGGGAGCTAGGGAGAGAAATGTGTGATAAGGGTATGACTTACGTAAGGAAAAGGTTGTATATAACTTTTCTTGCTATTGTCTTCCTCTGTTCTTTCTCCCATGCTCAGCTTGCTATTTGCACAGGGAGGCCGGTGACTCTAGTTGTCCTGCTCGGCATATTTTACAGCTCAAGGTGATTT